ATTCGTGAAATGCAGAAAATGTGGTGTATTCTCAAAGAAGTTGGATTATTTTTCCTTGGCGTCTCAACTGGTCTGGATGGTCCTTTCTATAGGGTTTATGGTCAAGTAAGGCTGCCAATGATCTTTATTGGTATGATGGTCATGGTGTCATTCTATACTATTCGTAAATACAATTCCTGATGTTTCACCTGCATTTGCAGAAACGAAGTACCGTCAGATAAGAGGATGTACTGAGCCTTGTGCAAGTGTACGCTGTAGACTTTTCGTCCTTGAATCTATTCCTTGTTAAGTGCATGCTTCCGTGGACCGTTTTGAGAAAACCTATGCAAGGCTTAGACGTTCGACATCAGTCTATTTGGCTTAAAAAGTATTTGTAAAAAAGAACGCCACCTGGCGTGGAATGGCCGGTGTATACATGTAATTTAGATACATATATAATGTATATATGTATAAAGTTGGCTTTTTTCTTTCGCTAATCGCTACAGTTAAAAAGGGAGTTTAAGTTTAAACGGGTTCAAACTGTTTGCTTGTTTTGCTGAAAAAGGCATTATATTCGCTCTGATAATGGACAAGAATTTTTTTTTTTTGTTCTTACTGATTAAAACATTTTTTATTGATATACAGTAAGTGACGAATGAACACTGAAAAAAGTGGACAAACTTATTATTTACTACTACTGCTTCCCCTTCTTTATTATTCGTTTATCTTTTTCCGCTTTACTCTTCTCCTCTGGGCTACAAGATTGCTTAATGAATGGTGACCAGTGCCGACATTTGCCGAAAACAGCTTTAAAGCGACAGCAAACCTATAACGTTGCAAAATCACAAGATATTGAATTAATGCTTTCACTTGCAGTGATAGCTGCTGGTAAATAAAAGTTTGACGCTAATATAGGCAGAGAGGAGTGGTGTTATCAGATCTTTTCCAATTACAGCATCTAATCCAAACCTAATAAAAACAGAAATTTTTCTTTTAGAGTAATTATTAACCTTAAATTACTATAAAATTCTAACCAATTTTTTGATAAACACTGCTACAAACTCTTTCATCTTTGTTCTCATTTTTCACCTCTTCTTCAGAAAAGTTATTAAAGCAACGGCTTCTGCGTAGAACTTATAAAAAGCAAGAAGAATTCAAAGGTACTTTATCGATGAGAAATCACCAACTGATTAGTAGCTGCTTTTCGCTTCTCTGTGCGTCTTCTTGTTTTCAAAATCTTTCACTTTAGTTGTCGTGCATCTATAAAGTCTGATTTTTAGCATCCGTCTAATTGTTTGATCTGATCAATTGAAAACAACAAGTATCGTTTCATTATAAATTATGACCAATGTTTTGTGCCAATATTAAACTGAAATGTTGTATCATGCAGTACCTGCACATGTGTATGAGTATATGTGAGTTTGGGTCAATGTATGTTAGAAATGCTGTTCTAGAAACCCAGTTTTGGAAAAGCTGTGTCCCTCTAGATGTCATGTTTTTCTTCTTCATTGGAAACTGCTTGCAAAAATAATTATAAATCCATAAATTTATTCTTCGATTTTTTATCCAGTGATTTTGCAGCAAAAATTGTTGTTAGATGAATTACTCAGCAACATTTGCCATAACACTTTATCACAAAATAAATTTTTACCAGTTTTTTCCCTTGCCAGTTATTCAAACAGTGACACCGAGGATTCTATAAGTATTGCAGAAAAAATAGCAAATCAGTTGATGATAACAGCAACAACCAAACTGGATGAGTTGTAAAACATCAAAATGAAAAAGAATAACAAAATAGGAAAAAAAGCACTATCTGTTCATTGACTAAAACTATACACAAATTCTCTTAAGAAACATATAGCTAATAGAATATACATACATATAATAATCTACAGTTACACTTTACACCAGAATCTACGGCACATTTTTTTTTATATCAGTCACAGTCATTTTTACCAACAGTCCTTTGTATTTTGTCTTTTTTTCTTTTTGCACACATTTTAATATCTAAACACACATTAAAACCGTTCTGAAATACAGCAATTAAAAAAGAAAAAAAAACTAAAATTTCTTTCTTCTGTACAGTTCTATTGTACTGACATAAAAAATAAAGAAAAGCGAAAAATGATTTTTTACAAAGACAATATATTACAGATACATCTGATTCTCCGAAGTTGTTTTTAAACAACGGATCAACGTCTGCTTATGTAACGTCCACGTATTTTCACATGCTTCAAAATACGGCCACTGTGGAATTTCTATTTCTTCACTAAATTTCCTAAAGAACCACAAATTAGTCATTATCTATTTGAGCAACTCTAGAAGCTTCTACATTAATGTAAATGCTTAATAAACAACAAACCATTTTGAAAATATATCCTTGTAACATAGGATACTTTCGGTTAAAAGTGGATCCAGCTTTTTTAGCAACGCGAAGTCATAGTAAACACTATGTCGAGGACTATCACGATCAGAATAGTTCATCGAAACCATTGTAGAAATTATCTTTAAAAAAGTAAAAAAACCAAAAATTTTGCTTAGTCATAAATAACTTTACCAGTGCAGAAGAATAAAAAATAATTTAACTTTTTGTATGCAAAAAATTCAGACCAGAAGTTCTTGTTCGGAAAGCTCCACTCGAGTTTGCCACGGCCCGGCCTCACGACGCCTGAATCCCAACTCAAAACCGCCATCATCCCAAATTGGTTTACACCTGTACATAAATGATGGACCTCCTTCACCATCCAAAGATCTGCTTTCAAATCGAGCACCAATGGTCCGTGATGATATGTTAATCCCAACACAAAGCTGCGAAAGGAAAACATGATTATCTTTTGGTATCAAAAATTGTGAAATGGAAGATCTATAAATAGTAATATTTCTTTGTTTCTAAACCATTCGTGATTTCGACTATCAAAATAGCTGTAGTTATTTCTTAAATGAAAAGTACAATTTTCTTGAATTCATATAACAAAAAGTTTCATATTTAAATTGCATCAAGCAAACAATGACTTGCTGCTCAACCAGATTTGAATAAGAATTACCTGTTTAATTTCATAAGGAATTGGATTATTCCCAACAGCGTGAGCAGAAAACAGTAATGTAGCATTAAAAAATATCAACGACAACACTGAACCCAATGAAATGACAAACATCGTGAAATGGAAGATCTGTGAAAAATATCTAAAAATAATGTTTCTTTGGAGCAAAACAAATATTTTATTCAGGTTGCATCAATGTTTTATAACTAATTCTCTCTTCTCTTTGTTTGGCTAGAATTTCTCAATATTTTACAGCTTCTAGCCTCTTTTTATACAAATTTTCTGAATTATTAAGTCCGCTTAACGATTCCATAAAAAACATCTTTTCCGCATTTCTTTACCGTAGAAAGGAAAGGTATTTTAAACAGTTTAGTAAGATAACGTTTTTATTTAAATGAGCTTAAAAGACTGACAGATGTAGTAATGAGAATCCTACTCATCTAAGGAAAGGTTAAATTGTTGCACCATTTACACTCAATTTCATAAATAATAATCATAATAAACAAACTTGACGAACGACTGAGCACATTTATGCCTGCTGGATGAACTGGCAGGTTGAATGCCGTAATGGTAACAGCATGGAAAGCAAAGCGTTAAGGCATAGACCAGATAGAGCAATAAGGTAAAGACGATACATAAAAGCACACTAAACAGTTGCTTAGTCCAACCCCAAACCTGTAAGTACCAACAATACCTAGTAACAAAATTTCGTGAGTTAGGAATATGATTGCAACTCTTCATTTATGATAATACTGAATATTGGCATAAAACTAAAAAAATTTGAATAGGAACCTTGCGCAAAATTATTCTCATATTCAGCTTAGCGGTTTTTCGATCCTTCTGACCCATAACATTTCCATTGCAGTGTACTTTTTGTGATGAATTTCTGTAAATAAAATTGAAGGCAAATCTGACTGGCCAACATTCGTCATATTCATCCAATCGAGCATTACTGAAATATAAATTTTTATCTCTTCTGTTCACCATCTCTTTCGCCATTGATCCGAGAATAAAACAAAAAGACAGAATAAGAAACAAATAAACAAAAACCTTTTGTCAAAGTTGCTTTTAATCTGTTCAAGCATTGATTTGTTTGGCAACACAGAAGTTGCAGAATCTGATTTTTTCATCGGACATATCATCCTACGGTATGCAAAATACAACAGTAATAGACGCCAATGAACACTGACCAATGTTGCACAACAAATCAGGGCTATAGGCCAATGTTTTACCTCAAATTCAGCTTTTAACGTTTGGAATAGAAAGAAACACGCTGCTAGAAACTTTTGAAACATTTGATAAAGCATAATATTTAAAATCTTCAAACGTCAAACGTTATATATCGAAATACTACAGTACTGACGTAAAGAACTAAAGAAAAGTGAAAAAAAAAAAACAAATAATTAAACAATCAAAAAGAAAAGCAAAATATGAACCTGAGGGCCAGCGCATCGACACGGCGAGATGTAAAAAAAATTTAGTATTGTAATTGGAAGATCACGAAAGACCATAAATAAAAATGAGATCCGAAAGTTGTTGAAAGCCTAAATAAAAAAGACGAAATAAAAAAGTTAAAAATGCTAGGCTCTGAAAGATAAATCATTCAGCAATACGGTTTGCAACACATGTTAATAAAATGCTAAAAAAGTACTAAAATTTCAAGTAAAGAGCTGCATAAAACTGGAAAAAAGACTGAAAAAACTGCTTTTGTTAATGTCACTTTCAAATCATAAATACATCGAGAAAAAACAACAAGAAAAATTGCAAGAGAAAAATTCAGAAAGAAAAATCAAAAAAGGAAAAACAAAAAGAAAATAATATTACAGGAAAAAATAGTTTACCAATTCTTCAAACCCAATTTAACCTTATCGAATAGTTCTATCTTCAATTTTTTTCTCACATTTATAATTTCCTTTTTTTTTATTTATCAGTGCGACAATATCCTCAAATATTCTTCTGATTCGTTAACGTTTCCCTCTGCCCTACGCTTCTTCCTCGATTTTTTTTCCATATCAAAGTGGTCAAAATTGCTTACTTGAAGCCACTGAGTAAAGCTTTCGTTAATCACCGCACATCCGGCGCTAAACTCCGTCACTTCGTTAGGATGTGCAAAAGCATTTTCGATGCAAAGCACCTTGAAAAAAATAAACATTCCAGTGCAAATATAATATAAACATTGGAGTTTGATATTTTAGACATAAAAATTACAATTTTTTGACAAAATATAAGATGCAATACTGTAGTCAAATGGGTGTTTGCTTACGACAAGTAGTGAAGATTAGAAACAGTACATTCATTAAGTTCATATTAAGAAACTACTATTTGTTTAACATCGTTATAAACCTACAATAAGAAGGCAGACAAGCATTGTCGCTACCACCACCGATGATACAAATGCTACTGCCGTCCAGGTTCGTAGCGGGAATGTTGCAATATAGCCGCGAAGTAAAAAATACAGATATACCCAATCGGATATCACAACAGTAAAATAAACGATAAAACTTAAACCATAAAGCGCTTGCATTGTTCGAGCTTAAAAAGGCAACATTTAACCTGTATAGTAATAGTCAGACAAATAATTCTGCCTGTAATTTGTCAGTAATTGAAAAAAATAAATTTATTAAGTTGTTCGCTTTCTTTACTTTAAAATTAAGAAATTCTTCTG